AAGGATGGAAGACAGCAGAGCTTGCAGGCCCATGGCAAAGGAGGGGGTGAGATGCCGGTGGCGGGTGGCGAGTGGTGGGCGGGGGAACCGAGGTAGTGAACAAATGAAGCAGCTCCATCCTGGACAGCAGTGACAGAAACCAATGGGAAAGGAGATCAGAACAAGATGCAGGCAAGGCACAGTGTGTTCCCTAGTAAGAAGAACCAGAAAGAGGTGAAAGCAAACCAGAGAGCTGGGGAGAGGAGGAGGGAGAAAAGAAGGGTGGGAGTGTACCTGAAAGCCAAATTGGTGGCATTGGAGAAGTCCAGGCAGGTCCCTTGAAGTAAGAACTGGGTTTTGGCACCATCTGATAGATAAAGTAGCCTATGGATGAATCTGGTTGATCAGGAGAAAGCACCAGGACACAGATAAAAAACTCCATCGGAATAGAGTTTATTAGCAAAGGAACACGTGGGACAGATTCCCTTCTGGGAAGGGAAAATATCTGTCCAGGTCGTGATCTGGGGTCTTTTTAACAGGGGAGACTTCTGCTTCTTGCGGAAGGTGGGAAGATATTATTTTTTAAAGTTGGGCTGGGGGAAATGGGAGAGCAGGACTATTAAAACCTGTCTTCTTTAGAGATCAAAGGGGAAGCCTGCTGTGTTGGCCAAACAGTGGAGAAAAGTCTGCTTCTCTTGACTTCAAAGACCAGGGTGCTTATCAGCTTGGTTCCTTTTTCTCAGGAGCTTGAGAAGTCCTTGAGACCCTGTTGGTGAGGGGACGGGACTATCTAAACCTTAACAGGGACATAATGTTTTGGCTTTCCATTTTATTATTCTTTCATTGTGATTTTGGTATGTGAATTTCTTTTGTTGTTTATGATTCTGATATGGGAATTAAATTGAAGTATGTTTCTGTTTTGTATTATCTGGGTGCCTAGATCCTTTCTTTATTGGTTATGTAAAGCTGGTTGGTACAGAGATCAGGTTCTCTCAGGTTTAATTTGGAGGGAACTGATGGCTTCAGATCAACTATTCAGGAGTACTCATGGAAGCCCAATTCAGGTTCCGGTCAGGTACACTCAGGCTTCCTTCATCATGTGGATCTGGGTGCTCTTAGGTAGTCCCTCTCAGGTTGTCTGCTAGGATCTCAGCCTTAGCCTATCAAAGCCAGATCTGCCCTGGGGCCTTGGGAGGGGCCTCATGAAATCCCAGGTAGGGGGATGGGTATGGCACAATTAGGGGAAGCTCACCACCACGAGGAGGCAGGATCCAGGGGCTCTCAGGCAGTCCCCTGCATTCTCAGCCTCTATTAGAGAGAGGCCAGATGGAGGCCAGAACTCAGCACTCTCTGGCAGTCTGCTGAGATCAGAGCTGCTACACTGATGGAGGTCAGAACCCACCCTCCCACTCCTGTTTCTTATAGTAGGCTGGATTTGCTGTATCTGGTCTTTTGGGTTGACTTTATAATGTTATTTCTGGACTCTCAATAGAGTTTGGACTTGGATGTAAATGACTCGGGTGGCTAGTTAGCTATGTGTGTGTGTGTGTGTGTGTGTGTGTGTGTGTGTGTATGTGTATGTGTAGAGGTGTACATGTATGTGAAGGCCAGAGGTTGACACTATGTGTCTTCTCTATGGCTCTGCACCTTAATTTTGGAAGCAGGCTCTCTTATTGAACCTGGTGTTCACTGATTGGCTAAGCTGGTTGGTTAGTGAGCTCTAGGGATCTGTCTAACCCTTCCTCCTTCCACCAGTGCTGGGATTACAGACAAGCATTGCATGTGGCATTTTTACTCAGGTGCTAGGAATCCAAGCTTAGGTCCTCATGCTTGTGAGGCAGGCACTTTACTGACCAAGAGGACTGCAGCCCCTAGCTTTCTTTAACTCAGCTCACACGTCTGTTTGAATGTGAGGACAGAGGCAGTTTTAACTAGCGCTCAGTTGGTTCCCATTGCTACTGGAACACTGCCACACATTTAGTTGCTTGAAACAACATGAATTGAAGATTTCACAGTACTCTAGGTCAGAGTCAGCTGCAATGGAGCAGGTTCCCTTGCTGAGAACTCCTAAGAGCAAGGCTGAAATGAAGGGACAGGCAGGATAGAATTTCTTTCTGGATCCATCTACAGCTCCCTTCAGGCTGTTCACTGATTTTGTTTAGCCCTATGAGGTTAATTGTAGGACCGAGGTCCCCATTTGTTGGCTGGCTGCACCCATGGGTAATTCTTAGCTTCTAGAGGCCACTTGCATTCCCTAGCTAGTGGCCTCCTCCTAGACAGCTGGGACAAGGGCTCCTTATTTTAAAGTTGACTGATTAATATTAATATCCTAATTTTATCTGCTAAATCCTTTTTTGTTTTTGCAAAGTAAAATTTCACGGACATATACAGGGGGTAAAAATCAGAAGAATGAAGAGTGTGTGTGTCTTTTGTGATTTTTCCCTTGGGTCTATAGGGCTTTTTTTTTTTTTTTTTGTCTTTTTGAGACAGGGTCTCCCTGTAGCCCCAGCTGTCCTGGAACTCTCTATGTAGACCAGGCTGGTCTCAAACTCTCAGAGATCCATCTGCTTCTACCTCCCAAGTGCTAGGAAAAGGTGTGTGCCACCATGCCTGGCAAGGACTTTTAATTTCGATTTAAGGGCCTCTCCAGTTTCTAAGTGCTCTCTCATGTTCTGCAGAAGCATGCCTCCCTGATGGTGCCACCTCTTCTGTACAAATTCCATTCTGTTCTGTCATTTTCTGGATCTTTCTACTTGCAGCAGAACTTCGTCTTTTGTGTAGTGCCTTCCAGAACCACAATCTGCACTGAATCCCATCAGGAGCTGGCTGCTGGGTTCGCTGGACTCAGGGTTTATTTTTCTAGTTATGCGTAATTACAAGTACAAATCATGCTGTTCCAGACCCCAGTTCATCTGCTCCTACTAAAATCAGTTATTGGAGCTGGTGGGAAAGAAATTGGGTCTATTTCAGGGATGAGGTCCAGAGAAGGTGGGGGTAGCTACTGCTCACCACCCTCACTGAAAGTGACCAACTTGGGGAACATGGAAGAACTTTTGTAGGTAGGAAAAGGAAGTATGGCCCCCACTTTCTTGTCCTTTGGGATCAAACCCCAAGGCCTTGCACACACTAGGTAAATATTCCACCATGGAGCTACATCCTTGGCTTTTTGTCTTTTTCTGCCCAGAACATCTGGATTAACCAACCTTGACCTCCTGGGGCTGGTTCCTGGGATTCTTTATTCACAGGCCAGATAGCCCCGGGATCAGCACTGGAAAACAACAGAGATCCTCTCCTCATCAAGGAGGAAGGTGAGGATAGACACCTGAGGTTGTCCTCTGATCCCCATGCCTGTGCTGTGTCACACACACACATCCACATTTACATACAGGAATACACACACATATCTGTATGCATAGTCCTGTCTGTCTGTCTGTCTGTCTGTCTGTCTGTCTCTCTCTCTCTCACACACACACACACACACAAATACATAAGAAGAAAGAAACCCACCAAAAATACTAGAAAACGCTATCACAGCAAAAGAATGGAAACGGCCGGGTGTGGTGGCGCAGGCCTTTAGTCCCAGCACTTGGGAGACAGAGGCAGGCAGATCTCTGTGAGTTCAAGGCCGGCCTGGTCTACATAGTGAGTTCCAGGCCAGCTGGGGCAACAGGGAGACCCTGTCTCATATGAAGATCTTTTTTTTTCCTGTCTTTTTGAGACAGGGTCTCTCTCTGTAGCTGGCCTGGAACTCATTATGTAGACCAGGCTGGCCTTGGACTCACAGAGATTCGCCTGCTTCTGCCTCCCAGTGCTGGAACTAAAGAAGTGGGCCACCACGCCCAGCTTATCTTTTTAATTAAAATTTTTTATTACATTTATTTAATGGGGAAACACAAGCTATGGTGTGCAGCATGTGGAGCTCAGAGGACAACTTGTGGGAGTTGGTTCTCTTTTCTACCACGTGGGACCTGGGGATTGAACTCAGGTCATCAGGCTTGGTGGCAAGGGTCTTTACACACCGAGTGCTGGGATTAAAGGTATGCGCCACCACACCCGGCACAGTCAGTGCTCTTAACCGCTGAGCTATCTCTCCAGACCCCCAGGAACAAGAATTTCTAAAAATTAAATAAAAGACTAGAGAGATGGCTCAGCGGTTAAGAGCACTGGCTGCTCTTGTAGAGGACCTGGGTTTGGTTCCCAGCACCCACATAGCAGCTAACAATCACTTGTGACTCCAGTTCCAGAGGATTCGATGAACTGACACACCGGCAAAACACTCATACACAAAAAAGAAAAAGAAAGGATGTGTCGTTACTTCCCTGCCCTCCTGCCCTCCCTTGTTCTGCCAGGTCTCCTCTGTGTCACTTGCAATATGATCGTGCCTATGAATTTAAGACATTGATCTTTGCCAATCCCTGTTCCCTGGGGAACAACTCTGCTGTCATGAGGTTCAGGCAGAGCAGGCTGCAGCTGGCATTCCAGTCACCTATGCTTAGGGCCCAGTCTGGAATACTTGGGAGGGATCCAAAACGATTTGGGATGCATAGTCAGATCCAGCACAGTGTGTGTTGCACTATAACAAGCCGTGGGAGAGCGAGGACTACTGGGTTTGAGTTTCTGCTTGCTGCTCTCTTAGGAAAGTCATTTGTGCAGCTCTGTAGACCATCCAGCACTTGGTGACTGTGGTCTTGTGTGTGGTACTTCTAAAAGGCTCTGAAAGAAATGTGTGACTAGAGGATGGTGGCTGAGGCAGGCAGCATGGTTTAGGACCAACGTTTTGCAGGGCTGTGGACATACTAGGTTCTTGTTACATGCTGGAGGGGAGAGTATGAGTGGTGGGTTAAGATTTGAAGGGCTGGACCCAGTGTAGCTGGAAGGGAGCTGGAAGGGAGCAGTGGGTGAGGAGCTGCTGGATCTGCTGGGGACGGGGTAGGTTAGGGGACAGGGTGGGCAGATGGGTGGTGTGGCGGTGTGGTATTTTTCCTTGCTCACCACTTGTCATCCATCCTTGGCTTTCTCAGCTCTGGGCAGCAGAGGTGGAGATCAAGGACCTACAGTCGGAGTTCCATCTGGAGAAGATCGATTACCTGGCCACCATCCGCAGGCAGGAGCGTGACTCTATGCTCTTCCAGCAGCTCCTAGAGCAGATGCAGCCACTCATCCGCAGGGACTGTAACTATAGCAACCTGGAGAAGATAAGGCGGGAGTCCAGCTGGGATGAGGATAAAGGCCTCTGGAAGATCCCGGAGCCCATCATCCTAAAAACCACCCTCCCAGTAGGTCAGGCGCTTGGCTGCCCCATCCTCCCCTGCTTCCTTGACAGCTGGCCACCTGCAGAGGGACAAAGCTTGGCCTTTTCCTGCAGGCTGTGGGTGTGGCAGATGTGGGGATCCCTGAGGATACAACATGTGGTTGCCCTGAGAAAGTGGTGTGCTCTGGAGGCAGACAGACGTGGGTTGTGTGACTTCTGTGGGACCCTTCCAAATCTGTAACATAGGGGTGAATGACTGCATCTTCCTCAAAGTTGCTGGGAGGCTTGCAGCATGCCCAGGCATGCAAACACCTTAGAGTGCTGCCTCACATGTGCAAGTGCTTGGTGCTGTCAGGGCCATCGTTGCCTTTGTTCCATCCTTTAACAACCCCACAGAGGATCATGATCTCAACTGGATCTCAGGGGCTGCAGAGATGGCTCAGCAGTTAAGAGCACTTGCTGTTCTCTCTTGCAGAGGATCTGGGTTCAGTTCCCAGCACCCACATGACAGCTAACACCTGTCCTTAACTCCAGTTCCTCTTGTGCCCTCTGAGGGCACTACATGAACATGGTGCATTTACATACATGCAGGCAAAACACTCATATGCATAAAATAAAAGTAAATAATTTTTTAAACTAGCCAGGTATGGTGGCGCATGCCTTTAATCTCAGCACTTGAGAGGTAGAGGCAGGTGGATCTCTGTGAGATCCAGACCAGCTTGGTCTAATAGTAAGTTCCAGGTCAGGTGGGGCCAGGGAGACCCTATCTCAAAAAAACAAAACAAGAAACAAACAAAAAAACTAGATCTCAAAACTGGGCATGATGATGCATGCCTGTAATTTCCTACCATTCAGGAGGTGGGGATAGGAGGTTGAGAAGTTCAAGGTCATCCTTAGCTACAGAGTGAGTTCAAGGTCACCTTGGAATATATGAGAACTCGCCTCAGAAACAAAGCAAAACACAGCTCATGACTACCTGTAACTCCAGCTCCAGGGGATCCAATGCCCTTTTCTGGCTTCAGCAGACACTGTATGCACATGCACATACACACATGTAGACACACATACTCATAAATCTTAAAAAGAAAAACCAAACAAAATTGAACCTTATAGGATCTAAATGCCTCATCCAAGTTCCTAACCAGAGGAGTGATTTATTCTGGGACCATGGATAGAAATCCTTAGCTGTTCAAGGTTTGGGCTTAGTTCAACCTCTGCTTTGGCCACTGACCTTCTGTGTGACTTTATGAAGATCTCTCTCTCTCTCTCTCTCTCTCTCTCTCTCTCTCTCTCATCTTTCTCTGGGCTTCCTAACAAAGGATTGGATAAGGTGAACTTAAGGATCCAGCTCCAATGAGTCTCAGAGTAAAGTCAGGTCTTCTGTGGATCTTTCTCCAGCCAGACACAGCTGTGCTTACTTGTATGTGTGTGTGTTGGGGGTGGTGGTGACAATCTCTACTTCTCTCCATGGTCCCCTGCAGTCTTCCTCCTGGTCAGTGTCCATCCAGGGTCCCTTGACGTGATGGGTGACTGTAGATGTCATCATCCAATTGAAACTCCACTGTCCATGAGCTCTGGGTAACAGAAGCCTCTCTCTATCCCCACCCTCCTGCTGTCTGGCATGGAGTGTGGGGGGCTGGCTTTTTGGTGCCCGAGTCCCCTTGTTATCTGTTTCCTGATCATCCCTTGACTAGGCTGGGAAGAATCCCGTTTTCAACCACAAGCCAGGTCTGACCCCATCCATACCCTCTGGCTCTGCTCCTCAACTTCTGTTTTCTCATAGCAGTTTCAACTGGGCCACAGAACAAACCAGCCCGCAAGACCTCTGCAGTGGACAATGGAAAACCACATATGGTAAGGCCTGGGGTGGGAGGGAAGAATGGGGAGTTGGGGGTGTCGCCCCTAAAGTACTATGGGTCAGTGAAGCCACAGGCTGCTGCTGCCTCGCCTGGGGACTGACGCTGGCCACCAGGCCTTTCATTACATGTTGGGTACCTGGACCCTCAACTCTGTTGACTCTCACTCTAAATACTTAAAGAATAAAAGGACAGTCGATGGCTCAAGGCAGCCCATGATAGAGATTTCAACCTCAAACCCAAAGGGCAAATAGCACATTCTGATTTCCTGGTCCTCAGCTGGCATCCTTGGACCAAAAGTATGCTCAGAGGGTGGTTGAGGGTCTGAAGTCTGGTGCCTTTCCTATCTTCCATGTTTTGTAGTACAACAGAACTGTGTGTACTTAAAGCAGGGGTTGGTAAATCTTTCTGAAAAGGACCCAGTGGTAAATAGTTTAGGCTTCGTGGGGCCATAAAGGCTCTGTGACATCTACTCAACTCTACCATTATAGTTCAGAAAGAGAGATAGGTAACATGTATGTAAATGGCATGTTCCAATAAAACTTCATTTGCAGAATCAGTCTGCAGGCCACATTTGGCCTATTAGTATAATCTGCTGACCCCCGCCTGAAACCTCCATGAACATATACTCATAGTTGCCAGTTCCATCCATGTATCTGCCTAAGCAGCCCAGGGCTAAGCAGCCCAGGATGGCCCCCAGCAGTGCCTCATGCTGGCCTAAGGCCGGATTCGCTATAGTGGCTTAACTTCATAGAAAGAAAAGGCTAAAAAATCATCTTAGCCTGGGACTACAGAGAGGTTATGTCAGATAACTTTTAGTTCCAAGTGACAGATACCAAAGCAAACAACTGCTGCAAAGTAAATAACTTACTGGCTTGTGTAAGTGGAGTTTCAGGCGTGGCTGGATCTAGGGGCTCAAACGGTCAGGGCTCTGTCTGCCTTTGCCTCATGTTTCTGCCCCCTTTCCTATGCTAGCTTTAGGCTTTCTCCCCATGAAGGGGACAATGACTAATGGCAGTTGAGATCCAAAAGCAGGAAACATACCAACCTTTACAGCATCCTTATACCAAAGCTTGTGAAAAAAGCTCAGGCTGGCTCCACCTCCTTACAGCCCTGTTCTTGGACCAATTACTATGTTCAGGAAGATGTAGCTCTGTCATTGGTGTAGTACAGTCTTTTTATGGCCCAGTATTGCCAGACCCTGTGAATGATCCCCAACTCCCCAACCTGGACCATATTGGGTGGGAGGAAAGAGTTCTCTGATAGAAGAGATTGAGACTGCGGAAAACAAGCTGTTGACAGTAGTAAAAAATAACCTTCCAGAAAGATGGTTAGGAGTAGTGCCAAGTTCTGATTTCACTGCATTGTGGTAAGGGATTTAGGTTATGTAGTGTCATCTTTGCCTCTGGTGAAGCTGGAACTTCCTATCTCATGGATTTGGAGGAAGTGTAGGACCAGCTGGAGGTTGTAACTCCCTGGGTCCAAGCTACTTGGGTCCCTACCCCAGGAGGCCCAGGGCAGCACCACACCACCAATCCCGAGAAGTCCTGAGCTCCAGGTAGGGCCCATATGGGCTGCTCAGACAAGGGGGCTTTCACTCACAAGGGTTTGGCATCTCAGCAGGAGGAAGACCGCTATAAGCTGATGCTCAGTCGGAGCGACAGTGAAAATATTGCCAGTAACTACTTCCGGTCCAAGAGGGCCAGTCAGATCCTCAGCACTGACCCCATGAAGAGTCTCAGTGAGTGTCCTGCCCACCAACTTCCTCTTCCCCATTCCATTGGGAGAGGTGCCATGGGTGATTTGGGAGTCAGGAAAATTTGAGTTAAAAGAAAAGTCCTTTCGCTCTATGAGCCTCAGTTGCCTTGACTATAAACCAGGAGGATGACACCCACTTCTCAGGATTAGATGAGATGCACTGGGGCAGTAGGTCCTGGCACATAGTAGTTGATTGTGTTAGTCAGTGCTCACTGCTGTGACAGATAACCTGGGAGAAACAACTTAAAGGAAGAGGATTGGGATGTAGCTCAGTGGGCAGAGTACTCGCCTAGCATGCAGGAAGCCCTGGATTCAATTCCCAGCACCACATAAACCAAGCATAGTGGTATGTGCCTATAAATCCCAGCACTTGAGAGATGATGGTCAGAAGGTCAGAAGTTCAAGGTCACCTTTGGGTACATAGATTTCAACACTATGTTAATTTGAGACCCTGTCAAAAAAAAGATTGATTTTTGGCTCCAAGTTTCAGAGGCTTTAGTTCAAAGTCTCCTGGCTCCACTGCTCTGGGCTGACAAGAAGGTGGAATTGCTTGGCTGGGAACCAGAGAGTGACAACAAACCAGGGTCAGGGCGGCCTCCTCCTGTTTTGTGGTTCAGCCAAGCCTCCTACTGGAATGTGCCCTCCACCTTCAACGAGTGTCTTCCTGCCTCATTTGCTACCCCATATATATGCCAGTCTACTCTGGAACCCGCCCTCTGCCCCCGCAGACACACTGGGAAGGTGTTCTTTATTTATTTCTTAGGCATTTCTCAGTATAATCAAGTTGACGATAAGACTGACCATCACAGTGCTCAACACAGTCTCCTGTCTGCACCTCTGTCTACTTGCAGAGAGGTGCTGGGTCTGACTCACGTCCCATGACCCACAAGAGGGCCCTCGCTCAAGAGTGCACAGGTCAGGGTCTTAGGAGCTAATCTGACTCCCTCAGACTCCATTATGGTGTCTGAACAACTCCTTTACACCAAAGGAAGTTGATTGACATTCTGTCCAGGTACACAGACGGAATCCCCAAAGCAAAATAGTTTCAAGATCATTCTCTTAAAAGTAAAATCAGAGGGGCCAGTGAGATGGATGGCTCAGTGGATAAAGGCATTTGCCACCAAGCATGCCAACGATGACCTTAGTTGGTTCCTTGGGCCCCACATGGTGGGGGAGAAGGAAAGGGGAGAGAAAGAGAGGACAGAAACAGAGAGAACTGACTCCAGCAAGTTGTCCTCTGACCTCCACACATGAGCTGTCACACATGTGCCCTCCCACACGAACAAGAAAATGTAGTAAATTAAAAACAGAGCCTGCAGAGCCTCCAGCAAAACATCACTAAGAAGCAAATCTTAGTTCTAAACAGACTATTTAAGAGACAGTGAGTGAGGTTGAGGAATAGGTGGGGAACTGAGCAGGGAGGAAAGGAGCATCAGTTGAGTGCCTTGGACCTAGGCTTCTCTGCCTGGAAGCCCAGGCTAAAGCCTCGGAGACTTTAACCCCTATGCTCTACTCCAGGCCCTTTGGATGCAGAAATGGTGCCAGGTCTGAGACCCCAGCCAGAGCAGCCTCAGAGGGGCCCCAGCTGCAGAGCCAGGGCCTCTGGCTGGGTGGGGGGTTGGCTAGACGTTCAGTCCTGTATGAGTGGGTGTTTTTTCTTTCCAGACTGCTCTCTGGCTCACCCCTCCCTGTCTTCTTCTCCACAGCGTATCACAACTCACCGCCAGGCCTCAATTCCTCCCTCAGCACCAACTCTGCCATGCCGCCCACTCAGAGCCCTGAAATGCCCCAGCCCCGGCCCTTCCGCCTGGAGTCCCTTGACATCCCTTTCTCCAAAGCCAAGCGTAAGAAAAGCAAAAGCAACTTCAGCAGCAAGCCTCTGTGATCCAGCTGTCTGATGCTGTCTGCTTTTAGGCTTCGAGAAACTGCCAAGCCTTCCTAAGGCAGCCCCAACCAGACCTCCTCGTCCTCCCACCACAGTGTCCTCAGGTCCAATGGGGCTTAGACCTGGGAAGACACATTTCCTTCCTGATTCTCCAGAGAGCCCACTTTGGCCCAGGTCCTGAGCTCTGTGGAGGCTGAACCACCCTTCTAGGAAAGGCCGTCCTCCTACTGTCCATACCAGCCAGTGTTCCAGTCAAGATTCCTGCCATGGAGCCCACACTTGACCTCACCATGGGCTTGGACACCTCAGGGCCTTCACCAGCAGTCTCAACATTGGGCACAGCAGCTGTCACATGGATGAAGCTCAGCATCTTGGTGGCTGAGATTTGTACCTCTGCGATTGGCCCCTTCCCAGAGAGGCTGAGCCACACAATGGACACAGGTAGAGACCTGGAGCAGTTACTAGCCTGGCCTATTCTGGGCTGGACTGCAGTCCAGAGGCCATTTCACACTAAGCTGCCCAATAAACTGCCTTTTAACATGAGCTCCCTTTCCCTTTGGTGTGTCTTAGGGCCCCTCCCTGCCCTCCTCTGGAGGCTCTCTACTGCCTTGGGCTGTAAGCCAGAAGCTCCAGGGTTTCTGTTTCCAGCACGTGTGTGTGTGTACACATGAGTGCAAGTGCTTACGGAAGCCAGAAAAGGGTGTGGAATCCCTTGGAGCAGTTGTGAGCTGCCTATATAAATGCTGGGAACCAAACATGTGGGTCCTCTGCAAGAGCATTGTGTACCTTTAACTACTGAGCTATCTCTCCAGCCCTGAAAGTGAACTTTAAGGAATCTGTGGCCCAGGATGGCAAAGCCCTGTGGAGATAGAACCATGTCTTGCTGAGGCAGAAAAGGGCCTGGATTGTGTATGTGTGTGTGTGTGCTGGTGCACATGTGTGTAGGTTTGTGTAGAGTTCAGAGGTCAACCTTGGGTGTTAATTCCTCAGACACTGTCCAACTTTTTTGTTTGTTGAGACAAGGCTTCACTGTAGACCTAGCTGGCCTGGTACTTACTACATAGACCAGGCTGGCCTGTGTCTCAAGAGATCCACTTGCCTCTGCCTCCAGAGTGCTGGGATCAAAGGCATGTGCTTCCAAGCCTGGCTCCTACCTTATCTCTTTACAGTTACTCTCATTATTGTAGTGAGAGAGAACAGCTGAAGTTTTCAGGAGGCTTAGGGGTTGCTTTTTCTCAGAGGCCCAGTTTAACCAAGCAGGGAGTTAGGGTGAGCCAGGTGTCTCCCCTATGAACTGAAAAGTGAGGAGCTGACATTCCCGAGTTCGTGCTCAGCTTAATGTGCAGAGGGCAATGCCTTGCCCTTGCACCCAGCAAGATCACTGAACAGTATCCAAGGGCACAAGTAGAGGCCAGATCGCTTCATATCTATGCACAGCCAAGGAAGCTGATCTCTCCAGTGATCAGCAACGCGATGGCCGGAAACAAGGCTAGTGGCAAGCCGAGCTTCAGCACCCACCTTTTTTTTTTTTTTTTTAATCATTTAAATTACATTGTATGTGTGTGTGCCGCACGCGGATGACCACGTGGAGGTCAGCGGACACCTTGCGGGAGTAGGGTCACTCCTTCCCCATGTGAGGCTGGTCGTCAGGCTTGGCGACCTGCTTAACCATCTCACTGGCTCTCCAGCTCTTCTTGATTTAACGGCTAGGCCAGTGCTTTGGCCATCCAGGGTGTCTCCCTGGGGCCGGAGCGGCGGTGGCAGCAGTTCCTACGCCGGGCCCCTACTTCCCCATCCTGCTGCTCCCTAGAGGTGCGGGCCTGGTTCCGAGTCCTCTAGACCAGTGAGGGCAGAGGAAATGAATCCGGACTCCATCGGAGCGACGACAGTCATCTCTGGACAATCAGAACCAGCCTAGGAAAGAAGTAGGTCGGATCCAAGAGGCCTATGAGGTGCGGGGTCAGGACCCGCGAAGGGAGCCGGCACCGCGAAAGTCAAAGGACTCTGGCCCTTGTTGATTGGCCGCGGCTAGAGAGCTGTCTCCCCAGGATTGGTCCTTTTCCTAGAGAGGGCGGGGGCCTCTAGAACATACCACCAATAGGAAGCAGAGATTCTGCCTCCGACTGGGGCGCTTCCGGCTGTGCTCCCGGCTTTTCAGACCGTGGGCCGCGCGGTCGCCCGATCACTTCCGTCTGGGACTTCACCGCCCGGAGCGGCGATTGGAGGAGCGCAGGCAGGACACTTCCGGTGTCCAGGTTCTGGTCTCGGGTGCCGGGGAAAGATGGAGCCGCGCCGCGCCGCCCGCGCCTGGGCCGTCCTCGGGCTGCTGCTGGCCGTACTGGGCTGCGGCTGCGCCAGCGGCCCCCGCACCCTCGTGTTGCTGGACAACCTCAACGTGCGGGACACGCACTCGCTGTTCTTCCGGAGCCTGAAGGGTGAGCGCTGGGTGCCGAGGGCCGGGCAGGGGCGGGGAGGCGCGGGGTCGCTGCCGCACCTGCCGAGGGTGGTCGCGCTGTCGCCCCCACTGGGTAGGGACCTGGCCACGTCTGCAGCGCTTGATTCAGCGACCCGCCTGCCTCAGCTCCCTGTTTTCTCCTCCTCCAGACCGGGGCTTTGAGCTCACCTTCAAGACCGCCGATGACCCCAACTTGTCCCTCATTAAGTACGGGGAGTTCCTCTATGACAATCTCGTCATCTTCTCCCCCTCGGTGGAAGGTAAGGGCTGCGCGTCGCCCCTAGAACTGGGACTCATTCATTGCCTTGTGGTTCTTGGGCATGTTCTGGGTCTCGGGGATGAGTTGATGGCCAAGGCACTGTTGCTGAGCACTGAAAACGTTAATTCCAGTGGGGGTCCTGGAGAGGACGCCTTTTCCACAGCTAAGGATCGTGGAGTCAGATGTTGCCATAGAACGGCTGCTTTGTGGAGAAGCAAGTTCTCTGCAGATAGGGAGCCCCAATTTGGTTTGCCTTGTGTGCAGAGAATTGCCTTAATTATGGATCGCTGTAAAGAGGAATTCTGCAGCGAGGTAGATAAAAGACTACAAATATTTCCAGCTGAAGAAGTTTTAGCAATATCCTCTACCACTTTGAGGCTGGACGGATGTGTCTGGCAGCCTAACAAAGTTCTAGTTGTTGCGAGCGTGCGTGTGTGTATGTGTGTTGTATGCATGTGTGTGTGAAGGTTGTGCACACTCTTGTAGGCAGAGTCCAGAGCAGGACTGGTGTCCTCCTCTATCACGCTCCACCCTATTCCTTTAAGACAAGGGCCTCTCTGAAGCCACTTGTGACAAAACTGGCCAGCCAGTGAGTTTCCAGAATCTATCTGCCCCCAACTCCTATGCTCGGTTTTTTTACCTGGATACTGGGAATTTCAACTCAGTGCTTCATGCTTCCACAACAAATGCTCTTACCACTGAACCATCTCCCTGGCCTCTAGAGGACTAATTATTGGAATGTCTTCATTTATTTTTTATGCATATAAGGGCTTTGCCTGCATGTATGTAAGTGCACCCGTGTAACATAATGCCTTTGGAAGCCAGAAGAGGCATTGGATCTTTTGGAACTGGAGTTACAGATGGTTGTTAGACACCATGTCGGTGCTGGGAACTGAACCAGAGTCCTCTGCAAGAGCAGCCAGTGCTTTTTTTTTTTTGGTCTTTTTGAGGCAGGGTCTCCCTGTAGCGCCCCAGCTGGCCTAGAACTCACTATGTAGACCAGGCTGGCCTTGAACTCACAGAGATCACCTGCCTCAGCCTCCTGAGTGCTGGGATTAAAGGTGTCTGTCACGACGCCCAGCAGCCAGTGCTTTTAGCTGCTGAGCCATCGCTCCAGCCCCTGGAATATCTCCTAGTTTACCCTTCATTATTCCGTTATTACAAGGCAGTCCTCTCCAGCACTGGACATTTCTGTCAAGAGGTTAGACTGCCCTGCGTGCCCTTGCATCAATGTCAGTAGTTGGGGCTCTCTTCCCCATTGTCCTTTTTCTTCCCAGCACACATGCAATACTAACAGAAGAGTGGATTACCTCATGTTAGAACGTCAGAATCACACTGGAGAGGACTCTCGAGCCCAGTGAGCCCCATGTGATGCTAGTTTGGAGGCGTATGGCAGTGGCCACCTGACTGAGCCAGTTACTCCAAACAGGATTTGCTCTCATCCTTGCAAATGTTGGAAAGCAACTGTCCCTTTCAGTGATCATGTTTAAAACAGGCATGAACAGTTCTGTGGATAATGTGTAAATGTGTAGGCCTGGTGGAGGACAAGAAAGCTATTAATGTTAGACCAGTGAGCACTCCTGTCAAGTGACAGTGTCATCCATGAACTCCCAAGTGCTCAGGGCAGAGTGACATTGATAGGAAAACTGTTAGGTGACCCCAGGCATAGCCCAGTGATGGTAAAGGATACGAGGTCTGAGAGGTGTCTGCGACCATCTGAATAACGTTGCTGTGTGAAGTGTGAATGGAAAATGCAGCAATTCTGGGTAAATAGATGTGACATGAAATACGCGCTCCCACTTTGACAAGTATCACTAGCAGGTGACCTCATCTAAATGACTCTGAGGTATTACTTTGAGCCTCCCTGTGGGAACACAGGTTTGTGCCATATAGCAAATGTGGTGGGTTTACTCTCATTTGGGCTAGGTGAGAGCCCATTCAGATCAACTGTGGCAGCTCAGCAGGGTTTCCCACTCCTATCCAAGTGTCAGGGAATGGGGGCAGGATGCCTCTGGTCACTGTCGGGGCTTCTTTCAGATTTTGGAGGCAACATCAACGTGGAGACCATCAGTGCCTTCATTGACGGTGGCGGCAGTGTCCTGGTGGCCGCCAGCTCCGACATTGGTAAGTATGCCTTAGGAAGTCCCAGGGCTTTCCACCAGTTCTCTAGAGAGCTTAGAGAGCTTTATGTGTAGGAGCTACCAAGGAGGCTGCTGGCTGGGTGGGCCCTGGCCACGGAGGCAGTGTGGGAGCTGCAGGGATCTTTGGATCTGGGTCCTCCTGTGCTGCTCAGTGACCAGAGGCAGTGAGGATCCTGGCTGGGTTTTGCCCATCATTTGCTTTGTTGTGTTCTGTTGGGCGGCTCTTCTCTTATTGAAGGAAGGACGTCCAAGGAGGCAGTGGGTGGCTTTTTGTTTTGTTTTCTGGTTTTGAACGTTTCAAAGATCCACAGCAGTAGGGAGAGAATTACATCCTTAGCTCACGGCTGGTCCCTCAGCTTCAACAGCTGATAGCACGGGGCCTGTGTCTCAGCAGTGATGAATCTCATCCTCTTCTCAGTGGGTTTCTTGGTCAGCCCAGGCTTGGCCACACCAGTGTTGGCTACAGCTTTGCTAACGGTGTTTATGCAGAGCCAGGTCACTGTCCTCATGGAAGGAAGAGGGCCAGGTTTTTTTTGTTTCACCAATTCCGGTTCTGAACCCTGGTGATGAAGTTGCTGGGCACTGGGGCTGACTAGTAAGGGGTGAGATGTGAGGAAGTTATGACCCATGTGGCCAGGCTCACCAGTCAGGGCTCAGCCAGGCATCTCTTGGGTCTATGCAGGTGACCCTCTTCGAGAGCTGGGCAGCGAATGCGGGATCGAATTTGATGAGGAAAAAACCGCTGTCATTGACCATCACAACTATGATGTCTCAGACCTTGGCCAGGTAATCAGACCTTCTAGTGTCTGGCACACATAGCAAAGCTCAACTGAGGAAGGCAGGAGGGACCCCTGGCCCTGGGACCCCTGACCCTGCCTTCCCCTTCCCTCTGCAGCATACTCTCATCGTGGCCGATACTGAGAACCTGCTGAAGGCCCCAACCATAGTTGGAAAATCATCTTTAAACCCCATTCTCTTCCGAGGAGTTGGGTGAGCAGGGAGGCCAGCAGAACCTTGGAGAACAAAGGGTCATTTGAGGGGGGGCACCAAGCCTAATTTAGAATGACTCAGGAATGTTCCTTCTCCTAGGTGATATGGGTAAGACTTATTTTTAAAAGAGGAATCCTGTTTGGCTATTGAGAAAGAGCTCTTTCCTGGCTAGGTGTGGTGGTGCATGGCTGCACTCAAAAGAGACTGAGACAGGAGGATTGGGGTATAGACCCTGTCTTGAACACATGAATGAATGAACAAATAAGGAAAAAAATCAAAGAAAAGAAAAGAAATAACTTGTCTTTGGGGAGAAATGAAAGAATGCATCCCTGGAAGAAATGACCTTGGGGTCCCGTGTCCTGGGGCTCGTCTCCTCAGTGCTGGGCTGCTCTCCTTTCCCTTTGCAGAATGGTGGCAGACCCTGACAATCCCTTGGTTTTGGACATCCTGACAGGCTCTTCAACCTCTTACTCCTTCTTCCCAGACAAGCCCATCACCCAGGTAAGAGCCTTTGCATCCTTGAGCCTCCAGCTCCTGGCCCCAGTGGAGCCTTATTTGAAGGAAGTAGGCTCTGAGACCGATGAAGGGCTGAGTTGATGGGACTGGGAACAAGGGTGGAAGCTGGGACCACCCAGCTGTCCCCTTAGTGGGTGGAGGGACAGAGCCATGTAGGTGTCCAGCCTGCTGTCTGCTTGCTGTGGTGGCTTGCCTATATGCCATCCTGCTCAGGTGAGCACCTCCTCCTATCCCCAGTACCCCCATGCCGTGGGAAAGAATACCCTCCTCATTGCTGGGCTCCAGGCCAGGAACAATGCCCGGGTCATCTTCAGTGGCTCCCTGGATTTCTTCAGCGATGCCTTCTTCAACTCAGCAGTACAGAAGGCCACGCCTGGTGCCCAGAGGTAAAGTGGGGCTTGGGTCTGTGAATGGGGAAAAGGGAGCCTTTGAGCCAGGCATCTGAAGTGTGTGCCTTTCAAGGCTTCCAGATTATTCAGGAACAACTTCATTGCTGTTCTGCTGGTGCTGGGACTCCTCCACACTCTTCAGGGTGGGAGTGACCTCTAATTTCCAGCATTCCTTTTAGAAAACTCTATATTTAGTGCTGGAGTGTGGCTTGGTGCTAGAGCCCTGGTCTGACATACATAAGGCCTGGGTTTAATCCCCAGCACCAAAACCCAGTATGATTGACTGTACAGATGACACCTATTGCAGCATCTCCTGCATCTTCCATCTATCTCTTGCCCCCCTCCCTTTGGGGGGTCTTTTTGAAGCAGGGTCTCCCTGTAAGCCCCACCTGGCCTGGAACTCAGCATGTAGACTGAACTGGCCTTGAACTCATAAGAGATCTGCCAGCCTTTGCCTCCCAAATGCTGGGACTACAGGCATGTGCCTCCACGCCTGGCCTTCCACCCCCACCCCCTTTTAAAATAATATTTTTATTTTATGTTTATGAGTCTCTAGCCTGCATGTAGGTAAGTGCACCCGTGTCGTGCAATGTCTGCGGAGGACAGAAGAGGCTGTCGGATCCCCTGGAACTGGAGTTATGGACAGTTGTTAGCTGCCATGTGGGTGTTGGGATTTGAACCTGGATCTTCTGCAGGAACAACCAGTGTTCTTAGCCACTGAGCCATCTCTCCAGCCACCACCACCCCCTTTTTTTTGAGGTCTCACTGTGTGCCCTGGCTGGCCTAGAACTCCCTGTGTAGCACCAGGCTGGCCTCAAACTGAGATCCACTTACCTCTCGAATGCTGGGATTAATGGTGTGTGCCGCCACATTCAGCCCTCCATGTTCCCTTTAGCCATGGACCTGTAGGTGTGAGGCCTCCTTGCAGAACCTCACCTAGTGTGTGCTGGCCTGGTAGACATGGGTCACTTGGCCCATTAGGCACTACCAGGAAGTGGGCTGCAGGGGCCCAGCCTCTTTCTCCCTCCTGCAGGTATTCTCAGACAGGCAACTATGAGCTAGCTGTGGCTCTCTCCCGCTGGGTGTTCAAAGAGGAGGGCGTCCTCCGTGTGGGGCCTGTGTCCCATCATCGGGTGGGCGAGACTACCCCACCCAATGCCTACACTGTCACTGACCTGGTGGTAAGAGTTCTTGGGATGGGCAAGGTTTCTGGGGGGGGGGCAGGGTGTCAGTTCAGCTCATAAGTATTTACTGCATGTTTTGGTGCTGGGCCTCAGGCATACAGAAGGTTGTTTTCCTCAGCCCTCCAGAAGAGCCGCTGGAGGTGTGGACCTGACTAACCCAACCCCAGACCCCTTTGGGAGAGCTAGTATCAGCAGCTCAGCTCTTGAGTGTGTCACTGTGGGAGGGTAGCAGTCGGAAGGCCTGCACCACATACCTGCGCCGGGAAAGTCAGACTTAGAAGAGACATCATGGTGGGGCTTTGGGGTGGACTTCTGGGACCGAGAAGTAGGGAAAGGGCAGGCAGCAAACTTGGAAGTGCACACTTGCCAGTGCCTGCAGCTTGGGGTGAGGGCTTTGAGTCAACTTCTGTGTCTGGACTCTGCTAAGGCCAGCCTCTGGGCAGGCAGGAGTGTTGCTGTCGGTGGCTCTCCTGAGGATCGGTCAACGTGTTTAAGGGCTGTAGGCTCCAGGGACCTCCACAGTCCCTGCCGTGCCCCTGGGGTGGGAATTAAGAGCAGCCCTGCCTGTGGGTGGTAGTGCCCCTCTAGCCACTGGCTGCTCTTGTCTAACTCAGCCTTTTGTCTCAGGAGTATAGCATCGTGATCGAACAGCTCTCCAATGGCAAGTGGGTCCCCTTTGATGGTGATGACATTCAGCTGGAGTTTGTACGCATCGATCCTTTTGTGAGGACCTTCTTAAAGAGGAAAGGTAAGTGTGACTCTGGCCAGAGAAGTCCAAACAGGACAGACACCTGTGCTTCTTGAGGAATGCTGGGAAACGGTCCGGTTCTGTGTGTGCATTCCCAGGTGGCAAGTACAGTGTCCAGTTCAAGCTGCCCGATGTGTATGGTGTATTCCAGTTTAAAGTAGATTACAACCGGCTTGGCTACACACACCTGTACTCTTCCACTCAGGTAAGTAAGGGAGTCAGGCCTGTTTCTGGCCAGGAGGTGCCCTGCTTGGGTCTCCTAGAACCCAGGGCCTTGCCACCTCTCCTGCTGCAGGTGTCAGTGCGGCCACTGCAGCACACACAGTACGAGCGCTTCATCCCCTCGGCCTATCCCTACTACGCCAGTGCCTTCTCCATGATGGCTGGACTCTTCATCTTCAGCATCGTCTTCTTACACATGAAGGAAAAGGAAAAGTCTGACTGAGGGGCCAGGGCCCAGGACTGGACAGCAAGGAGATGGGCAGAGGATTTTATTAGAGCAGATTGCTTGGTGGTTGTTTTTTTAAGGCCATGGGGAAATGGCACAGCCTTACCTCAGTGGGTGATGATTGAGTACCAAGGGGTGGGGGGCTGGGGGACAATTCTTGTGTAAGTTTTCCCATCTTGAATTGCTATGTTGCATTTTTCACATGCAGTCACTCCCCATTTCTAAAATAAAGAGAACTGTTGCCCGCACGGGGCACTTGGCCCCATTGTGCTTTGTGATGGCAGGGATATGGTCTAGGAATGACTTGACTTGCCAAAGATTGTGGTTTTTTTTTTTTTTTTTTGGTGTTTTTGAGACAGGGTCTCCCTGTAGCCTCAGCTGTCCTGGACCTCACTATGTAGATCAGGCTGGCCTTGGACTCACAGAGATCCGCCTGCCTCTGCCTCCCAAGTGCTGGGATTAAAGGCGTGCGCTACCACGCCCGGCTAGATTGTGTTTTTAAGAATTTTATATGTATGTTTTGCCTGCATGGGCACCAGTGTCCTGCAATATCCATAGAGGCCAGAAGAGGGCATCAGATCTCCCTGGAACTGGCATTACAGCCACTTGGAGATAAGTGGATGCTGGGAATCAAATCCAGGTCCTTTGCAAGAGCAAGTGCTCTTAACTGCTGAGCCATTTCTCCAGCCCCTGTGCCTATGTTCTTAAAAGGTGGGTGTGAAACTGTATGTGTGAGCTCTCCCATCTTTAGGGTATAAGAATCGTTCTGCTAGCACTAGGGAGGCAGAGGCAGGCAGATCTCTGAGTTCAAAGCCATCTTGGTCTTTAAGGGTTCCAAGCCAGCTGAGTTCCAGGCCAGGTAAGTCTACAGAGAGACCATCTCACAAAGACCAAAAAGAATCATTCTGAAGGCCAAGTACTCAGTTTAGCACATATGTACTCTGTTCTGTATTGTAAATTTGTGTATAATATGTCACAATTCCTGTAAGAAACGCTAGTCAGAGGAACTAGCAAGTTAAAGTGCCACACTGTTAAACCTCCTCACTGGTGGTTTTAGCTGTGCTGGATGGAGGATCACTGAGGAAACACACTCCCAGGCACACCGCAGGGTGTTCCAGAAGGTGTCCCCACCATTTGGGGCTCCTACCTCCCATTGATGGTTTTTCTTGCTGATCCTGAACACACTGACTTGTACCTATGTTGTCCTTGGTCCAGGTGACATGTGCCAGCTGGTGCCATGGCTGCCTCATTCATACAAATCCTGGCCCCTTCCTGAACTAGGAGCAGACCCCACAAACTGCCACCCACAGCCTCTGCTTTGTCTTAGGTGTTCTGTAGTATACAGCGCAGGGTCTACCCCCTCAGCCTAGCCTCCTATAACAGATCAGTGTAGCCATTCATATGTATACTGAGAGACTGTGAGGACAGACAAGGTTAGGAGGGGCTTTCTGGTCGGCAGTGGCAGCGGGTGTAACTCCCCTGGTGCAGAGCACACATCCCTTGAATAAATGTGCACAGGGTTTAACCTTGCATTGCCTTTAGCACTGGCGCACACGGGCCTGGTGTTCAGTGAGCATTCTTTTAAGTTAGTCCTTGTGAACATATTTAGTCCCCAGGTTGGCAAACTCACCTGTGGGTCATGCTGGCCTGCCTTTTACAAACTAAAAGTATTTTTTACGTTTATGAATGGTTAGGAGAAAACAAAATTTGTGACACATTAACACCAAATTTCAGATAGCGATACAGCAGTGTTGGAGTACAGCCACAGTGGTTTGCCCTCATGCTTCAGACAGCTGAGTGACTGCAACGACTAAATTTCTTACCTGACCCTCAGAGCTCACTGACTCCTGATTCAGACTGATGTCTTAATTCTACAGAGGACATAAGCAAATGGGTTACAGCTCATCTACACCAGCAACTAGCGCTAATAGCTACGGCCGCAACTGTTGCTTTTTTTTTCATTTGCCAAACCTCCAGGCTTCCTCTTTGGCTGACCAGCCCCTCCACTCCAGCTTGTGTTACTCCCACCCTCCCACTTTCTTTCGCCTTCACACACCATCGCGACACATGCTGCCCAGTCAGGTCCTTTTAGTAACCCGGCGCACCAGCATGCGCAAAGCTGTCACGGGGCTGCCCTCCAGGAGCGGAGGAGAAGGGCTGCCTGGCAGAGTGCCTCACACTCCAGGTTGGCCAGAAACAACATCCGCAGCTTTGTTTCCACGCTGTTCTTCTCTACCAGCCTGTCAGCCAGCAAAGTAGCCGCTGATTGCTGGAGGAGCCAGGCAATCATCATGTCCAGTTTCAGATTCTTCAGGGCCAGAATCTGTTCACCCCAGAGGCTTAAATGCAGCACATTTGCAGCCACACGAGCAGATGGTCTCTGCAACAAGAAGAGAGGCACAGTTTGGAATGTCTGCAGCCAGCACTGGCCGGCAGTGTTGCCGTGGTAGCGTCATTTCAGACCTGCACCAGCCCAATTTTTCCTCCATCCTATCTCTCCTCTCAGCTGTTCCCTCACCGAGCTGGGGCACTTGCACATGAGCAGCTCTGCCTGTGCCCTGCAGGAACACTTCCTCACTGGAGGACCTGCATGCTGCTGTCTGGTCTCTAGCACTGGAACTTTGGACCTGGGTGTTACCAAACTAGAAAACCTACTGAGCACCTGCTATGAATAGGCAGCAGGCTGTAGACAGTGAAGGGGGGGTGGTAAGTCACAGAACCACAGGCTGAGGCCAGGTCTGTTTCAGCTCTTTCTGCTAAGCAGCCACCAGGCCCAGACCTGCTGCTACAGTTATGGTTCAAACAGACTGGCCTGTTCCTTTACATTATCTTCACAACACCCAGACTGGTTTTCTGGAGGTATTTTCCCATCTGACCAAATCTCACCATTTCTACATGCCACATCTCTGTTTAACATTTCTAAAAAACTTCCAAACTTCCTCCTCCTTTTTTTTTTTGGTCTGTTTTGAAACAGGGTCTCCCTGTAGCTCTAGTTGGCCTGGAATGCACTCAGGGATTAAAGGCATGTGCCACCACACTCAGCTCTTCTTTAAAAAAGACAGGGTCTCCCTGTAGCCCCAGCTGTCCTGGAACTCACTATGTAGACCAGGCTGGCCTTGAACTCACAGAGATCTGCCTGCCCTTGCCTCCTGAGTGCTGGGATTTAAAGGCATGCACCACCACTGCTGCCTTTTTTTAAAAGGTAAAAGTTGAAGCTGGGTGTGGTGGCACACGACTTTAATCCCAGCACTCAGGAGGCAGAGGCAGGCAGATCTCTGTGAGTTCAAGGCCAGTTGGGGCTACAAGAAGAGACCCTGTCTCAAAAAGACCAAAAAAAAAGGTCTTATTATTTTTAAAATTAATCTTGAGAATTTCATACATGGATACAATAAAATATATTTACTCCCTACTTTCCCTGTCCAGTTCCCCCCCCCCCCCCCCATATCCCTCAACAGGTCTCCCAACTTTGTGGGGTTTTTTTTTGGTCTTTTTAAGACAGCGTCTTCCTGTAGTCCCAGCTGTCCTGGAACTCGCCATGTAGACCAGGCTGGCCTTGAACTCAAGAGATCCACCTGCCTCTGCCTCCCAAGTGCTGGGACTACAGGCATGCACCACCATGCCCAGCTGTGCTTATTTTTTTAACCCATGAAATCCAAGTCATACTGCCTGTATGTGCGTGGGGGTGGGGCCGTCCATGGAAGATGAGAATCCTACTGGTGGCCACATTCTAAAATAAGAGTGATTTTCATCCCCCAGCAACTCTCAACTGCCAGTCCTCAGTAAGGACAGGGCCTGGAGAGATCACCCTGCCCATGCCAGAACTGTGGCTGGCTTGAGCTTGTGCAGGTCAAATTTTATTGCATTTATTTGCTTATTCGTATATGTGTATGGGCACGTGTGTATAGAATCAGAGGAAAACTTGCAGGAGTCAGTTTTTTCCTTCTACCATGTGGGACCTAGGGACTGAACTCAGGCCATCAGGTGGGGCAGCAAATACCCTTACCTGCTGAGCCATCTCACTAGCCTGTGGCACAAATGCCATGGTGCATGTATAGAGGTCAAAGAACAATTTTGTGAGTTTTATCTCTCCTATCTTTACATGGGTTCCAAGTTTGAACTCAGGTCACTAGGGGCCAGCAAACACCTTTACCCACTGAGCCATTTCACCAGCTCATTCTTTTTAAAACTTTATTTAAAGATTTCTTTAAATTTTATGTGTATGAATATTTTGCCTACATGGATGTATGTACACTGACTGAGTAAAGTGCCTATTGAGGCCAGAAGAAGTCATTGGATCCCCTGGAACTGGGATGTAAGCCCCCATGTGGGTGTTGGGAAACAAACCTGGGTCCTGTGAAAGAGCATCAAGTGCCCTTAATTGCTGAGCTATCTCTCCAGCCCCATCAGCCCATTCTAAGCAGCTTTCTAAGTGACCAAAGACTGGGAGTACAGCAAGCAGTATAGTGCTCGCCTAGCATACACAAGGCACTGGGTCTGAGCCCCACCAGGAGAGTGAAATGGGCCAGAGGAGAGTTGTTAGAATTCTGACCTATGGCTTGGTAGCCAGTTCCCTACTTGTTTATTCTCAAGTCTACTGTGTGCTCTACAGTTGGCCTTTGCCTATATATGACAGAGGCTCCGTTTGGCACTTGTAGGGCTTGACCAAACTTGACCTTGACTCAAAAATGAATGAGTGGCCCCTATCTCGTTACCCTGAAGCCTGGGAACAGCCTCACCTTGCTGGTGTCTCGCTGGAGCAGTGACTTCACCAGCTGTCTCATGTCTAGAGGCACCGACTGGGGCAGCTCTGGCAGCTGAGCCTCCTGGTAGCTGCGGCTCTCGAGGTGAGCTCTGCCCTGGCCATAAAAGGGATTGGCCAGTCCGAAGATTTCATAGGCAATGGCCCCTACAGCCCAGGTATCAGCCTTGCTGTAATCAATTACTGCCTTGGGCCCAGGATGGGCTGTAGACACCTGTGGGAAGCAGAGGGTTGAGCAGTCACTCAGTGGCAGGCCTACAATCAATGGTCCTACACCTGAGCTGGGGGCAAATCAACCCAGTGTCTAAATGTGTCATGGCTCAAGCCAGAAAGATCCACTAAGGCTGCCCAGTTAATGCTGACAAACTTCCTGGGGACTTCAGGTGAGTCAGGTTAAAGCAAAGCAGCAGGGCAGGAACCTCCCATCTCGTTCCTTCCTTTCATGGGGATACCGAGGAGACTCCTGCTGATGGCAGAGCACGCATAGCAGGACTCACCTCAGGGGCCATCAGGCAGCCGTTGCCACCTCGGTCCACATACCAGCTAGTGAAAGGCAACTGCAGGCCAATTCGCTTGTCAGCCAGGCAGCAGCCAAAATCAGAGATCACCAGCCAGGGGCAGCCATCTGCAGAGAGGCAGTAGAGGTAGAGTGCAGGTTCTACTTCTGTCCTCTGATAGGCCCTCGCTGCCCCTCCAAAAGCAACCATGGATGAGCTAGACTAACGGGTGATGTGTCCAGGAGCACTGGCCAGAAGGCCTGGATGGGAGAGCTCACACCAGGGCCAGCAACAGGGACATGGGTATTCCTCCCAGAAACAAGAAAAACCCCCACAGTTCCCAGGCAGTAGTCTGGACCCAGGGGAAGCTATCCTCCATCTAAAGAATTTTCTAGTTAACTAGATATGCCTCACGACCAATGGAACTCACCCATATACCCCAGGAGTATTAGGTTTGAATTTGAAACCCCATAAACCTAACAAACGGGCATTAGGACTTAGTTACAAAGGATTTGAAGTCCTTGAAAAAGCTAGTTTACTTAGCTAAAATGTTTTAAAGATTTGTTTTTATTTATGTGCATGCGTGGGTGTGTGCCTGTGAAAGCCAGAAAAGGGCACTGGATCATCTGGTGGAGTTACTGATGGTTGTGAGCTATGTGACATGGTGCTAGGAACCAAACTCGGGTCATCTGTAAGAACAGCAAGGGCTTTTAACCACTGAGCCATCTCTTCAGTGCCCACTAAGTTGTTTTTGTTTTTTTGTTTTTTTTTTGAGACAGGTTTTCCTGTAACCTTGGCTGACTTGGACTCACTATGTAGACCAGTCTGGCCATGACCTCACAGAGATCTGGCCTCTGCAGTGCTGGGATTAAAGGTGTGGGTTACCATGCTCAGCTGTTTTTAATCAGCTACGTTTACCTCCTTTATAACGTTCTGACAGGCAGATTCCACTTGAATGCTCCGTGACAAGAGGACCCTGGGCTTGCACTGGGCAGCTTTCACCACCTGAAAATATCTTTGCTTCCGAGTCAGAATCTACCTCCCTTTCACTTTTGCTCTCTTTTACAGTTTTTATAAGAAAAACTAAAGGATGATGCTTTAGTACTGCCAGTGGGCTACAGAGAGAATCCTGGGAACTTTAAGGTTCATCAAAAGACTTGTTATGAAAAATAAGGTGGCGAGCGATAGAGGAAGACACCTGGCTTCACACATGCACCTCCACATGTCCACACATACCTGTACACACACACACACACACACACACACACACACACACACACCCCTCCTCTCTCAGGGTCTCCATTCCTTTATAGTGCTCCCTGGAACACTCTGGGTGTGGTGAGTACCTACCTGAATTCAGCTCCACAAGGATGTTGTCAGATTTGAGGTCTCGATGGGCAATGCCCTGCTGAACCAAGTGGTCCACGCCCTCCAGTAACTGCAGGATCATCAAGGTGGCCAGGCGGGGGCTGGGAGTATGCTCACGAAGGTACTGGCGCAGGGTGCAGGGGTAGCTGGCAGGAGGGTGCAGGACCTCCGGTTATCAGGATCCTCAGCCCCTCCTTCAGTTTCCTCTTCCTGAACCTTTTGAGTTCTTTGTTCCTATGCATCCTTTCATCCACCCACCCACCACCCTGAAACTAGGAAGCAGGGGACTATACCCTTAGCTCCACAGATCCATCACTGCAGTGAGGCGGCCACAGAGGTGGCTTCCCAATGTATCAGGAACACTGGGTAGGAAGTATTTTCTGGAAGATGAGATTTTGTACCATTCTAGGACAAGGCCCTCTTCCAGCACACCTTGCTCTTCCTGGGAGCCCTGTGCTCCAAGGGCAGGGACCAGCTCTCAGGGGAAGGGGAATCTGCCTCATGGTCCTGCTGAACCCATGGTCACATTCATCCATAGTACTTACTTCTTCATGACGAGGAACAGTGTGCAACCGTGGCCCAGGCCTTCTGGGTGGAGGTGTGGGGGCAGCACATCAGGATAGTCAGCCAGGGCCCCTGGCAGCAGGGGCACGGACGATGTGAAGGCTCGGAAAACCCGGATAATGTTGGGATGTGGGGTGAGCTGCTTGAGATCTCCTTTGGTCCTCCTGTTCAGCCAAATGGGAAAATGGTTGAGGTCAGTGTGGGAGACAGCTGGAAAGATAGGCTAAGGCCACAACAAACACAGGCGGTCACTAATTCACCAATACTTATTGTAGGCTTGCCCTGTTCCAGATATACTGTACGGTGTGGGCAAAAACCCAATACAGATGATTCATCACACACAGGGCTGTAGTCCACCCTTTTGCCCATTTGTCTTCCCATCTATCTGTCCATCACACATATCCTGGAAGCCGTTGCAGCATGAGTTCTTGGTCACATCACCCATCCTCCCTGGGCTCAGGGCCAAGTGGGAGAGGGGCATTAGGGAGTAATAGGCTGGGCAAGGTGGTTAATGTTCCTAAAGTACTACAGATGTGCTCTGCAGAGTAAGCACTCAGCAAATATTAGCTGTCACTGTTATTCATTCATCTAACATTTTCTGTTGTCACTTCAGTACCAGACATCGTGCTACAATGCTGGGAGCTACTCACAGACTGGAGTCTCGAACCTTAAGCTCTCTGATCTAACAACGCACTTGGGACCCAGCCCAAATCATCTCCCTGATTACAGGGATTAGCATCACCTTTGTCAAATGCATAAATGGATACAGATGCAGTTTGTGGTTAGCAGCAGTGGCATCACCTGCTGGCCCTGCCCACTCCTCCTCCAGGATGCCCCACAGCCACAGCCTCCCTGAAGCACAGTGGTTACATTTTGAACAGGGTGGCTCTGCCTCCTGTGAGCCAGCTGTGGCCCTCAGCCAAAGCTGACTGGACTAGGAGAGGGTGCAATATGTTCATCAGAGCTCCTAATGGTCGTAGGAAGAGGAAACGCAGGGAGGTAGACGCTCTTTGGGAGCCTCTGGAAGGCCAGCAGGAGCCACAGAAAACAGGGAGCAAAGGTTGGCAGGAACAGAAGGGAGGTAGCTGAAGGTGGAGGAGAGAAGGGAGGAGAGGCCAGAGACAAGTGGAGACGAGAATGCCAGTTTTGTGAGCCCTGTCCACGTATGTCCTTGTACTGTTCCTGTGTTACCTGGGTGGGCTCCTGGGCTATGCAGCAGTTAATGTCCATGGGTCACTGGTTACAGGAAGTCAGGGACCACAGCATGAGCTGGCATGGTCCTGGCAGGTGTCCCCTGGCAGGGAGCTCTGAGGCTGTGTGGGGAGATGGGCAGGGTGTGTCTGAACTAGGCTTGTAATGTGCAGGCAGGGCAGTTTGAGTACAGTAAACAAAGGAGCTTCTGCTTTGGCAGAAAGGTGGTGTGAAATTCAAAGGAGGGGAGGGAGGGAGGGGGG